TAGAACATCTTCATGGAGTTTAATTTTAGTGCCTCTCAAACAAGAAGTCTTTGTTGCCAGTTCTACAGAGATGGTTTCCCAGATTTAAATGGGGAACAAACTAAAAAGTTATAATTTAGGAAAACTTCCTGCCAACTGCTACAATTCTACCACGCGCCAGCTGTACAGTGCTAACCTACCTCACCCCTGCCTTACATTTCACTCCTTTCAGATTCTTGTAGACTATCACAATCCTTTGCCTTTCTTGCACGTATTTAGCAAATATCTCTATAAGCATCTGCTGCTGTGTTACCACCTGCAGGGCAAACCCACAGTGCAATCTACACCCGTGCTTAGAACTGAGATGGATGTGCCAGAGCTAATAGGTGAAAGTACGCTAAGTAGCAAGACAGTTGCAGCTGCAGAGGTCGCAGCCCAGCCTAACTTTGTAAGAGCCACAAGCAGGTGGGGTGCTTGCAAACATCAGTGCATCCAGCACTGACAACTGAACTGCCACCAGGACCTGGGCTTGCTACGCTGGATTTAGCTTAGCTCTGCTTTCATAAATCACACTCACATCTTCCTGCTTAATACAGCCTATAAAATTCCAGCCCTGAGAAGAGTGTAGTTTCATTTAACCTTTCAATACCTTTTTTTCCCCCGGCCTCTTTCTACACTTTACCTACTTTTCTGGTAACTGTAATTTTGTCAGCTCTGTAGTGATGAAATGCCCCGACCAGAGGCCAAATTCTAGCAGCAGCACCCACATGCTGCAGCAGGAGACAGTTCTTACAGCTTTGCCCTCCAGGAACACATATCTTTGGGAGCTGATAATAGTTTCACTGGTAAAATTCAGGTGCTTCTGGTTTTAAGTAGATCCATCATCAGAATTTGAACAGTTCCTGTGAAGAGAGGCCAAAGACATTCACATTTGTCTTGAACCTTCCACCGTTAAGGTGGTGATCCAACTCATTTGAGGCTCCCTCAGAGAGCTGTTTTCATACCTATCCATAAGCACAATAGCTTTGCAGATTAGAGTCTGTCCCTGATTTTAAAAATTCTACAACAAGATGAAGCAATGAAAGAAGATTACATAGAAGAAACACAAAAAAGAACAGAATAAAACTCCTTCTCACTACCCTTTCAGAAGACAGCTAAAGAGAAACAGAATTTCTGTATTTAAGAGAAGACCTACTCTATATAGCACAGTATCACCTGTTATTACAGGCACACAGCTGTCCACAGCACACACAGGCAGCAGGGTTTCAAACACAGGCATGTGTTTTACATAGGACGAGCAAGAGCACAAAGGTCTAGAAGGCTCAGACGGAAGAAAAGAGCAGAATCAGGAGCACAGAGCTTAAGGAGGAAATGCTGGCTGACTGCCTGGGAGCCATGAAAGAAGCAAACTCTCTCTTCCTTGTCTTATCCCCTTCTCGTCCATTTTGGGGAAAGGTGACTTGCTTTTTTAACACTTAACACAGCAAACATCATGATAGCTGCTTGATACGAGCTTCAGCACCACCTCCATCCTTCATTTTGGTAGTGATTATTATTATTATTACAGATCCTGGATGTGATCCAGTCTAACTGAAACCCATTCCTTCACCCAAGGACCAAGTTATTTGGCAGTACAAGGCAAACTTTGCCAAGACAGAAGCAAAGACACGTTATTAAACACACACTAAAAGTACTAAATTCAAAATCCCTCGTTTAAAACTATCTTTCTACCGCTGATGACTACAAATCTGCCTCTTGCAACAGCAAATATTGTAAGAAAACTACAAACTTATCTAGTTCATAGACTCTATAAAAAGAAATTCAGCCTTAAGTTTTATACAATGCTAAGCAATTCCTCTTCTAATTAATTCCTCTTTGTTCATTACTATATACATATAAAACACAAGTACAAAGTTAGTCCAACTACTCTCCAGTAGCTGAAATACAGTATCAGTCCTGCTTTATAGCTTTAAAAAAAATTAGAAAGTTAGGAGAAAGCTGACAGAGAAAAGAGAAAATATTGGGTACCTGTGCCCTACTTTTATGACACAAATAACCTTTGGAAAGAAAAAAAGTCTGAGAGAAACCAAATACCTACCTGGGAGAGATACTTTTCATGTTGAATGGGCAAACCATCAAACTAAAGTTCAAATGAAATATTTCAAGTCAACAAACAGAGTACTGAGATATATGAGATATATATTCTTTCCCATTCTACATATATATATATATATAAATAATGAAGTGAAAGTGTAATCATGCAGAACAAGGACAGGCTATTCTAAGCATACAGAAAGTGTCAGGATGATAAACCACATAAGCACAGAATCAAATCAAAGTTAATGGCCACTAGCTGATATTTAACTTTCTTTCATTTCTCTTTTCTTTCTGTTTTTTCATCTAGCCTGCTTGGCTAATAGAATTGCCATTGTAAGTGAGAAGCAAAGGCACGACTCAATGCTACATCAATTATTATGACTTCGTGACACACCGGTATTCAGCTGATCCCAGCAGGCTACCCTGATGCCTTATATGCAATTAATTTTTGATTGATCTAACTCACTCTGCATGTAAAATGTTCACAGACATTTGAATAATTCTATTACATGCAGATTACTGCACAGAGATCATTTGAAATTAATTGCCAAGTTATTTTAGTAAATGTAATACACCATTCCAGTCCTATTGTGGTAACAGTTATGTAATTGCTTTACAAAGTAAACTAATGAAATAAATTAACTCTCACTAATACGTGGCACAACAGGGCTCAAAAAGTGAAATCAAGCTGTAGATTTATTCTGTACCACTACAGGGTTGGGTTTGGGGACTTAACTTTCAATTGCAGAACTGAACAAGAATGAATGACCTCATAAAAAGGATTTGGTTTCACTGGCAGCAGGTGACCTCAGCAGGGAGCAACTTTTAAAAGAATTGATAGAATATAACCACTCAGTACCTTGCTTACAAAACCTAAGGACAGAGAAACCATCATTACCACAAAAGGTTGCTGGGGTTTGTTTTGGTGTTTGGTTTGTTGGTTTCTTTCTCTAGCCTAGGATCATCTTGGTTAAAATCAAACCCAGCAGTGGTGCGAATCCCAGCAGACACTGCAAGACATAACCAAATGAACAGCCTGTTCCCCCATTAACTCACTGTATCTGCAGGACTAGGCAGGACCTGTTTGTGACCTGATACAGCTATCGTGTCCGGATTTTTAAAAGGAAGGCATTCTTCACAGGTTTCTTCTGCAAAAGATTCTTAATCAGATTTAATTTTGGGTACAGTCTGAAGTTTTTTTTATCACAATCCAGACTCTGCCATCTATGGGGAAACAGAGCTCCTACAGACCACCTGAAATTGACAGCACTAATTAACAAACTTGTTAGATTTCCTGTGTGACTTATTTCTACTCATATTTTAAATGAAAAAACGTAACAAACTATCCACAGAAGAACAGCCTTAGAGTATTTCCAGAAATTCTCCAATGTACCAGGGCTATAGATACAATCCTTGCCAGTGTATTCTTGCGGTAAACACATTATTCCTTCAAAAGAAATCCAGAACAGTACACTACAGGTTTTTAAAAGACCTATTATTATATATATTATCCAAATGTCAATTAACTCTTCTAAAGATTTTACATGCATACATAAACACACACTTTAATAAAATATGTAATTTAAATACCTTATGAGAAGTAAATTTGGCTCTGATGCTACAGCAAGCATGACATACTCCAAATTCCAATGGCAAAAAGTTCTTTTGCTCTGTTTGCTCCAAAGAAACCAGAGTAAAAATGAGTGCATATAGCAGGCGTTTTTAGGGATTCCTGGACTGTCGGGAAATGATGCTGAAAACTAGAATGGGCATAATTATTTAACAATACTTTTTGTAGAATGATAATGTTTTGTTAGAAAAATCTAGCATGTGTTTTGAGTAGCTGGTACACCTACAAGAAGTAGTGTCATCAAGAACACAAAACCACTCAGCCATCCTGGCCTGTCAGTGATCTGTCAGATAGCCTGCAGCAAAACACCTCTGGCCAAATTTCCTATAGAAAGTGGGCTAATGTTAACCCCACTCACAGGCATCAGTGCAGAAAATGCTCCATACTGTCACTTTGGCACAGTTCACATTAAGAGCAATAGAAATAATAAAATCCCTACCTGTGGACACTGACTGGAAGTCTCTCTCTAATCAAAACACCCTGGAAGTAACTGGCTACTGCTTTCTTTACTGTTCACCTGCTTAATGCTGCAAGCAAAGCTCCATGTCAACTTCACGTTGGTGCAAAAAGCAGCCGCTAGCAATTCTTGTTTTGCAGGGTCATGGCCTTATTTGAGGCTGGAATTATTCCTTGTCAGGCTTTAGAAGAGGACAGGAAAAGTTGGTCAGGATCCAAGCAAATAAAATGATGTTGGTATCAATGCTTTAAACATAGAAGTTACAAGAAAAGTGCTTTTCCTATTTGAATATTTTGTAAAAAGCAAGTGCTAAAAATATCAGCACAGAGCAAAATTTATATTGTGGTATAGTCAAAAATCTGAGAAATCCCAGACTCCCTTGTCTCTGGCACACAAAGGCAACCACCCCAAGGAAAAAGTAAACTTTTGTTATCATAGTTACTACTGGATAGTAAAGCACAATTACTAACTAGCACAAGGAAGCATGGTAGAGGAATCTCAGTTCAGATTAGCAATACAGTGGAATGAACTAACCAAAGTGAAGTACAAGATGAAACCCCTTAATGTCTCATATGGCCTGTATTAACTCAAAATCCAAGAGCAATGTAAATAACTACAGGAGTTTACGAAACCTTAGTCACAGGCTTTCAGACTGCTGCATGCAAAATCACTAGGAACACTGAAAACATTCTAAGGAAATAGAGCTGTGGAGATTTTGAGGTGGAAACTATCACCAAAAAAAAAAAAAAAGCAACTCTACCTGATGTTTGAGCAGCGTGAGTATTTTGTTTAAACATACCTTCCAAGCACACATCCAGGCATTTTGTTTAAACTTACCTTCCAAGCACACATCTAGGGGAAATCCAGCTCCTGTAATCCACACAATGGTCAAAGACATTACTACAGCAGCTCTGGTCTAGAGTTATTTTTTCCATTCCAGCGTTTACAGTATTACTGGTGGTAATAACTATGCTCTCCACAAAACAGATGTTATGTCATGACCTCTTTACTTTTGCAGGCTGAATTCAGTGCCAGCAGTGAATTTGCCAGTGACAAAACAACATTATGTTCAGCTGCAGTATTTTTCCATCTAATTCACAGCTGCAGGGGGGAAAGAAAAGTCCAAACAACCAGTCAGAACCCTTCATAAATTGTTCAAGTTATCAGGAAACTAGTTTTAGATGGCATATTTCAACTCAGATGACAGATTCCATTAGCTAGTGGAAGAGTGCATTTGCTTAAAACCTACTGGCTTTGATCCTGTCTTTTTCAGGATCCACATCGGCACTGATTTTGTAATACTCATGAACTGAAATTTGTCTGTAACAGAGAGATATTTTTAAAACAACTAGTGTTTGTGGTTCCTTTGCTGCGACCGGGTAAACACACACATTTAAGTCTGGAATTAGGTAGTGGAGTGCAATGGATCTAAATCCTGTTCTGAATTGCTTATACATGGACTTTGATCAAATAATTAGAATAACTTGGGTTGGAAGGAACCAGGAACCATGACTCTGCTCAAGAATAAACTGAAACAGGCATGTAAACTTGACATAGTTCAGAGTACAAGAAGGATGACCTGTTGGGGGGGGTCCTATAGCCCATACAGCAAAAGGACTTGAAGGAAAACACAGATGCCACCAAGAGACAGCAGAATGAGGATGGTGAGACATAATAGGCAGCGGTTTTAATTTTTTTTCTCCCCACTACAACAATATTGTTGGCAAAGGTTAGCACTCCATGTATCAAACAGTTTATACCACCTTAGGGACATTCTGGGGAGGTAAGAAATGAAGATGGAATGACTGATCTCACACAGAAATTAAGAAACCTGTAGCATTACTTCAAAATCAGTTTCAATTTGCTAAAACCACCACTGTTTAGCAAAGGCACTCTATATAAAACCTTATGTAATTTCTCAAGTGATTGTCTGAAAAGAAAGTCAAGTCACTCCTTGCAAGTATCAGCCCATTTCTATATATAGCCAATCTGCCATGGCCCAGCATGCGAAGCAGGGCCACAGTTAACCACTGGTTAATGGTTATCATAGTCCCTTTGCCTAATTCTGACTTTGTAAAAGTCCTAGCCAAAAAGATCCTGAACAGCCCACCACAAAGAACAACAAAAATATATCACACAAATTATTCTTATGTCTTACAAATTATTTCAGAAGCAAATTTGCAAGCTGCCCCTGATCTTCCATAATAAACAGTTTCCAGAAGCTACTTGGCAGAAATGTAACGTACTGAAGTCTATTAATATTTATGTGTACATCAATAAAAATGGGGTTTTACCAACAATCTTTCTCTAGCAACAGAAATGTTTCTTTTGGTTTGTGATGTTCTGACACATGCATATTTGTTTGGCATATGCATTCATGTTCATCTGGGTGCAATCTATCTGGCAGTCATTGCACATTGTCATAACCTATACAAACACCATAAGTTTGTCATGGCAGCAAATGGCACAGAAATTGATTAAAGTTTTAACAAGAATAATTGTTTCCAAGTGTCAATGGCCAAGTGATTTATTGATAACAGACTCAGCACCAAAAAATTCCTTATTAGTTGCAGTACCACGTTAACAATAATTGGATGTACTGACTTGCTTGAATTTGGTACAAACAGCTATAACTTATGTTTATACTTATTTTCTTTTTAGGAGCATAAAAGCTTATTAACTTTTTCTTCATAAAGCTTGTTTGTAGTTAAGCGAGGTCTTCAGCTAATATTCCATGACTAATATTCTTTAATTGTAAATTCATATGCTGTCACTGTTGCTTGTCAGTTCTAATGACAGAGAAATATTGTTAACCATTGAAGAAAAATAGAGTACTATTATCTGCATTATATTTTTAATCTGATGAAGTTAATCATTGAGCAGACTTCCTACCTTTGTAAAGCATTAATTGTACTCAGACAGCAAACTTCTAACCATAATTTGGGGTGTTTTTTTTGTTTGTTTGGTTTGGTTTTTTTTTGCTAATATTCTTGCAAGTAAACTAGAATATTTCTCTTGCATAACATTGTTGTGATCTGCTTATACCTGTTGTCTATTTGCTTGATACCTTCAAGTGGAACTCACTGGTTCCACTTCATGCCCCCCCCCCAAAAAAAAAAAGCAAGTAAGCTTTGTATCTAGTCCAATTAAATAATCATTAAATCTATAGCAGTATTCTAATACAGCAAGCAAAGCGCAGTAATTATGCCAAGCTGACATGATGACTCTTGAGTAGTCTCAGTGCAGACATCTGTGCTCTGAACTCTGCTCCTGCACCAAAAAAAAAAATTCTTTCCAAGATGTTGGCTATTGTTACTAACCTATGGGCATCTCTACAATTTTTGCCTTAATTCTGAGAAAAAAGTATTTTCCATTAGCTTTATCAACACTAACCATGTTCATCAACTGAAATTGTGGCTAACATTTGAAAATATGATACAGATACACAAATGAAGGGAGGCAAATTAAGCAAGCTTTGGTTACCAGACACACACAAGCCTCCCTTTATACTTACCTATCCCATCTTCCTTGAGCATTACCTCTATCCCAGTTTGATGGCACTATTTCATAAGTCATTTTTCCTTTGTATCCACGTTAAACTCCTGAGTATTCAACTCCTTATTCAAGAACTGTACTTAGTGTTCCTCCATTTCAAACCTTTTCCCTTCTGTTCTATTCACCCTCCTGGAGTACCTCTATACTTACACACTTTCTTGAAGGGACATTACTGAAGACCACATCATCACTAGGTTGAGCTGTTTCTCTTTAAACCATTAATGCTGGCAGTGTTCTGTAAAATAAACGGTAAGAACCTACAACAAATATTAAGTTACGTTTTTGATTTACTCTTCCAAGCTTTAACTGAAACCGATTAAATCACTTGGTCCAAGATTGGTCTTTTTTTTTTTTTTCCACAAACATTTAGTCATCTATAAAACTTGGAGGCTGAGCTGCATATTCCCAAGGGTGAAATGTTACTGTTCTACCACTGTCAGAGCACAACTCTCTTTACCTGTATCAGTCATGACTTAGCAACAGCTTGTCAAACCAACTCTAAATCTATGAAAACAGTGATTTGAGTTTTATTACTTTAACAGCTGAAGTTCTACCTCCTCAAGCAGAAGGGAGGCTCGTTTTCTTTCATTTCTGTTTCTTGATTGACCCAAATTGTGTAAACCCTACCCATTCCCTCTTTGTCTAAAGTAGATGGAACTGTAACTGCTTTTTGCTAATCTCCTTCTTTTATTCATTCAAGATTGAGTCCAGACTTAAATTTCTTCTTCTGTTTTGACAGTGAGCACACACTTCTATTTGCAATTCATGCATTAGCTTTGCAAAAACCTACTTCTCTGTGTCCTGATTCATCAAACCTAGAATCCCCCATGCCAAGCACCACCTTGCTGTATGTCCTGTGTATCTTGTTGGGGATAGTGTGGTCTGCACCAAACTTAACCCTTTATTGCCATATGTTCCCTGTGTTCTGTGATCCCCATTAAAGATGTACATTCCTATCCACATGGTGTGACAGCTTATGGGAGCCTCAGAGTTTTTGATTTGCTGGCCACAACTCATGATTTCTCCCATTGCTTTGCATCAGGACTGTCCTACAGCAGGGTTAGTACAGGAGAATTGTTCTTAAGGCATGACACAAAGAGGCCTGGGGAGAAGAAAGGGGTGTTCTCCAGGTAACGCAGAGGATCTCCACAAAGCAGTCCGGATTGTACCAGCTACCTCCACCTCAGTCCCAACAGTCGAGGTTTTCCCATCTAAATCCTGCACTGATTTCAACCACACCTTGTTCTACCTGCAATGTTGTTCTCAAACACCAAGCAACTCCTCTAGCAAGCTGAATGATCCAAACCACAGCACTGCTTATAACCACCCTGAAGCTACTTAAGTGTCTTTCAACCCTCAGTCTGACTCAGCTTCAATTTTCATTGTCCAGCCTGGGAAAATGTGCTTGGCACAGTCTGCAATACTCCTGCATTCCCAGGAAGTTACAGGTAAAACCGTGAAGTCTTCTCCCAGCCTCTGATATGTTCTTCTATTTTTCAAGGTGTCTCTCCAAACCGTAACAAAGAACAAAATGCAATTCTTGTTCACTAGCAGATTCAAAGAATTTAAGCTCCTTACCTCTATTTAAGGGCTGCTATCTATTTTTTTTTTCCCATGAAACAGTTTTAATTATTTCTGTCTTCTTAAATGGGTCACAGATGTAGCACATCTGTCTTCCTGGTCACTTTCCTTTCTACTTTCTCAGTTTAGGGAGATGGCATAAAACTCTCTGGAATTAAGTCATGCTGAAGGCAGACATCTGTGAACCAAGAAACCTACCTAGCAAATGAACACACAGAACAGAGCTGTATTAGATGTTTGCTTACAATGACTAAACAGGAAGTCACAAAAAGTTGTTCTACTATTCCCCACAATTACGATGTTCTGCCTTAGCTACAGCTGGGAGCACACATCTGACTCCATGGATGAAGCTCACTACAAAGTTACAAACATCCCAACAGGAAACTGGTGGTTCCTCCTCCTAGGTCACAGCAAGGCAGTGCATTAACCACAGTTCAGATCCACAAATAGAAGAGCATAAGCATCTTTTTGGGTCCAAAATGCATGAGATGAGCGCTTCTGATCAGTGTTTTGTTCAGATCCCCCAGCTGCTTATGCTTTTGAGCGTGTCTTGCACTTCACTTCCATGGCCCAGATGTACATCAGACATGGAGAGCTTCAAACTTCATTTTAAGCTTATAATGAAAATAAACTGCACTGACATAACGCTACCAGAATGCAAATGAGTTGGGCATTTTATGCTGACCAAAATCCCTCTCTCTCAGCAGATGTATTGTGGTTCAAAATCACTCTGATCCTTTCTCTGCGGTATTCTTGTTATAAAAAGGCAATTAAGCCACGAAACTATGACCAAACAGCAAGAGAAATGAAATTCACAAAAAGCACTTGAAAGTTCAGGTTTAAGCACTATCCAGAAGCCAGCAAATTAGGCTGGGGTCAAGGTACCTACACTTAGGTAGTCCTTCACATGAGCTAACAATCCAACACCTCTCATGGGTGCTGAACCATTATCAACATCCAAGCTTACGTCTCCTGCCTTCTGTGCCTACTAGAGCAGGTTACCCACCTATCAAGGTGAAGTTTTAACTCCTAATTTATTTTCTTACCAGAAAATGCATACACCCCCATACTCCTCTATAAGTAAAATACTTCTGATGCTAGAAAAGGAAAAAAATAAACAC